ATTAGATACAGTGTACCAATGAAGAAGTACACACGAAACAGCAGATACAGCAAATCAAAGTCCTTGGGTTTTTCATTTCTTTTCAAAATTAGTGGGTATAGCTATACCATGCAATTGTGATAAGGGTGCCGTGGTGCTATACTGCAACTATTTTACTTAATCACAATATCTTTTTCTAATAGAAAATCTGCTCTTATCATAAACTTTGATGAAGATTTCTGGTAGCAAATTGGATCAAGTTGGTACTTTTAGGAAGTCAAAATTGAAAATTTTTAGTAGGTAGGTACTTTTTAAAATAATCTGGAGGTAAAAATAAGAACATTTTTAAAATTTCAATATTATTTTCAAAATAATTGTTTGGTAACCTTGTCTAGACAGTAAGTATATTTGATTTTTTTCTATGAATGTCGATACAATTTTTTTACTCGATCAAAAAGCTCAAAATGTTAATACTCAAGGTTGCTTACAATATTTGAATAAAAGCATAAAGCCACAAACAATTTTTATGAGCTTTCAATGTTAGAATAAGATAATAGATAATATTGAAAACTGATTTTTCGGAAAATACAGTGACGCATCAATTGGGTGTGCCGTATGCTATAATATAGGTGTGCAATATCGGTGTACAATGCACACATGCATCTCTAGAGGGCCTACAAAAACCAAAAGATAAAATTAATAATTGATTTGTTTCATATTACGTTAAAATTCATAAAAATTTATATTTTTATATTTTATAAGATTTGAAAATTTAAAACAAGATACCAAATAGGTATATTTAGAGTATTTTAGACAAGTCCTTTAACAAAAAAAAAAGTATACCAATTGAAAAGTCAAATCATTTTTTTATTATTTTTTGAAGTTAAATTTTTGTGGCATTAGCTGATATTCACCGGTAATATAATGATTTACCATGGAGCAGTTTTTTAATTTTTTGTAATTAAAAAATGAAGAACAACCGTAGCTAGATACTATTGACATTTTCATCAAAAATGTATATTAGATTTTTCTTCACAAGCCAATTATATGATATGATTTTAAAAATATTTTTTCTCCTATTAAGCTATATATAGACATTTAAAATGTTGAAATTTTTAGTTTTTTTCTATAAATATCAATAAAAATGTTTTGCCTTGTCAAACTACTTAAAAATGTACCTAATAAAAGGTTTTGTGATAAGTTACTTTAATAGTAGTTTAAAAGTATTAAGTATAACTATACTCAAGTATGAATTTGTATTAGCGTTTAAAGTATAATTTTGACAACAATTCATCAAAATCACAAATATTTTCAAATTATTTTGTACCTAGCCACGTAGGTAGTTAATAATTAATAAAATAGGTACTCAAGTTTTTTAATGAAGGATTGAAAATTTAAAACAATGTTTCTCATAAATAGGTAATATTGTCACAAATAACTCTAAAGAAACATATTAACACAGTTTTTTATTATAGACATTGTGAGTTCAAATTTAAACGATATTAGATATTTAAACGAAGAATAACGATATTAGTATTATTTCGTTGTAATTCAAAAACATTATTAGAGGGGACTTATAAAATTAACAATTGTACTATATTAGGTAGGTACGCAATGTCATTTTAAAAATATTTAGATTAATTTTAAATTTTAAGCTATTAAGTATTTGTACCATGAACCTATTCACACTGTTCTACAGGAGGTGGTATTGTCTCCACAATTGTTAACAATTATACAATATGATAAAAATATTTAAATATAAACTATTATAATAATATTAAATATGAATTAATACAATAAAATAAATGCAATGTTTTAGCCAAAAATTAAACTGACCTTCGGTAATATTAAACTAATATCTTTAATAGCAACAATACGGTATAACTATAAACTAGGTATCAATTTTGCTAGAAAAATATCTTATGACATATTTTTTTCAGTTATTTAAATTTTACACTTGTAGAATAGAGTAGGTATAGATATTGATTTGTTGGAATAGTCAATGAAAAGTAATAACTAATAAAGACAGTAACTCTAACTCCCTTATTATATTTAAAAAATAAAATTAACAATAATTATATTAATTCGGCTTTTCAAAATAAATCCTTGAACACTCAACACGGGGTCCAAGAGTTTATAGGTAGGTATTGTATTTGTAAAATACCACTAAAAGTTTTCGTTTTTTCCCAACTATTAAGAAAAAAAGAAAAAAAGAAAAATAACTGAGTAGGTATACCTATATTATATTATATAGTACCTAAATATAATATTTAAATCTAAATAATACAAAAATTGCAAAAATTATATCAAACTACCTACTCAACTACTTTAATATCAACTAACAAATAAAACAAATAAATATGAATAAATTTCAACAATTTATTAGTGACGGGTGTAGGTATTTGTGTATTATATTATAATATGATTAAAATTCTGTAGTATAATAGTGTTGTTTAAGTTATAGACAGTCTCAAATTAACTTTTGTTTACTTTATTTTATCAAAATACCTATACAATATTATACGCTATAGGTGCCTATAGATTTGAAAATAAATTTAACGCTTCAATTTCTGGATACTTTTACTAATATTATATTATCATAATATGTTCGACATTATTTTTTTTTTTTACTATTACACACTTTTTGTGTTGCCATTGAAATGCAGAATAGTATTTTCACCTATAGGTATACTTATCATAACAATTTATCGCCATTAATTCCACGTGAGACCCGGAACATTCGCAATTTAAATGAAATCATCCAACGTACCGAAATCAAGTCACGCATTTATATGGACGATACACGATTTTTGTTTTCGTGTATAAATACAAGTCTGGTAGACTTGGGTATATCACGCTCGACACGTTCTAAACTTCTAACCCGACACGCATTATTTGTGTACAATTTCAGAAAAAAAATTGGTAGTCTCGCCTAGGTGTTGCAGTTCCAATAACATAATCACCATTCGCCAATTCATTTTTAAAACAAAATTGTAATAATATTTCATTGATATTAGATATTACATATTTTCCCGACACGCTTAACAACGTACACTATAGAGTAAGAGTGGTAAAAATAGTTTATTATTTTCGTCCAAAAGCCACTTTCTTGAGTCGTCGAAAAGTATTACCTACCTACTATACACTAGTCGGACGATGCAGAAATAACATACTTGGCCGAGTAGATGGGAAATATTGTTTTGACACGTGTCACGAGGCGCACTGGGTCAATTTTTTATTTTTTCCGGCCAAAAATTCATGTCCCAAAATAAACATTACGACCATTCCAACTATGGGAAATGACTAATGCGTTTCACCTGAATACCCCATTTAACCTACTACTCCTACTAGTCAGCTGTCGGGAAATAATATATTAATTACAATATATGCACCGCGGTTAGTGTTGAATCGATTTACAACGACAAAATAAATGTGGGTGGTAGGTAGGTATTTACAAATGTTGATCATTATATTATTCGTCGACGAGACTGTTGCCCGACATTATTTTCGCAATCTGTGAAATCACGTCGGATAAACATTAAATATTTATGAAATAATTATATTATGTGCATATTCATAATTGGAGATTCTCGAACCAGGCAAATGTGCATACTACTACACACTATTGGGATTTTCCTTTGTTCGTATAATATTACGTAGTATACCTATTATAAATTGAGTAATTAATGCCATTTTCGAATCGACACAGCTTCATTACAGGTAAATACATATTTTGCTGTCACCTGTAATGTTATGTTACAAGACAAACGCATAGGTTTTAGATTTTTTTCACGAAAGTTCTTATACAAACAGGTAAATTGGTTCTCAGAAAATAACAAATAACATATACAATACAATAGGTACTCAAGTACAAATATATTTATTATTATGACATTGTTCAGAAACGATACATAGTTGTTAAGAATTATACACTGGAAATGTTGGAATTATGTTTATAGTAATCATGATATCATTTAAATAGGTATTTTTCTTACAACGAATTATAGTATATTACAATATATAGTATGAAGTTATTTGAAAAAATGTAAAATTATATCTGTAGAAACGAATATTTCATAGTTAGGTGTACAGAGAATTTTTAACAGGTTAAATATATATATATATAGTTTTTTTTTTTAGGATAGTTAATATACAATTAGAAAATATGTCATAGTGAAAGCGATTTAAAAGAATGTCAACACTTTAAAGGTCAAAATTTCGATAGGTTTCCAACATTTCCATACTTATAATGAAAAATATTTAAGTGAACACTCCAAGTTCGCAACATCATAACATTCTTCCTTTACCCAATAAATCAAAATGAAAATTACAAAATATATTTTTATATGGTATACAATAAATGTTATAATTCGCTGAATCCCTAGAACAATATCTGCCAAGTAATAAATAAAAAATAAATAACAAAACAAAAAAAAATATATATAATCACAGAAAGAGTAGGGGTTTAGCTACTGAAAAAATATATTTGCCTATTTGTGAATTCGTAAAATGAAATTTTTGAGCGTGCGTTTGCGCCTATATTGTATGACTGCGTGAAAATTTACATTTTTTCGCTTTCCCCCGTCTTCATTACGAACCACAGTTGTCCAAATAACATGCACGAGTATAATATAATGTCACAAGCAATATTGCTATACTATTACATTTTTTTTTTTTTTTTTTAATCAATAAATATCATAATATATATAAAAAGGAACTATGTGACATTTATTTATACCGTATAATACCAGGTATTTAAATAGAAAAGTCATTATTTTTATAATACAAATTGTAAAGTTTTATATATACTTATAAATACAAACATAGGTACAAACATATATATATATAATAATAATAATATAGCTCTGAAAAATAATTTTGAATCGCGAGGACGTGATCGTCTCGCGAACAACATATAGCTGATAGGGTACAACAGCTCGTTCTTGTTTTTTGGTTTATGCATTTTTGGATTATTATGTTTTACATAAAGAAATAAAAACGTGTGTATATCCGGTCACGTGTTATTGTATCACACAACACCTGCATTTTGGTTTTTTCTTCAATATTACGTGTTCCACTTGGGAAGGCTCGTTTCCATTTATCACAGTTCCTATGTACGAAACAAAAAAAAAAAAAAAAACATAATTATTTTATCAATTAGATCAAAATCACCAGAAAATATTTGTACCACTATTGTACTATGTGCTTTGTTCACTTGAATTAAGATTATCTACCGTGATAATAATACATTTTTTTTAATCTCAAGTACCTATATAGTAGTAGGTATCTATCGACGTTTCGCATGCGTAGTCGGTTACCAATAAAAGCGTGGTAAATACCTACGACTCAGATATAAATTTGCGTATTATCAAACAATTGTATAGGTATAGTTGTGTACTTAAGGTACTTAACCTTAGGCTTAACTCAAACTTGTACGCTATACTTTATAACGGTACCAGCGCAGTGGTATTGACGAGACATATCGTTGAGAATATTTAAACAATCAACGCGCATGTATAAATTCATTAATACCGAGTAACACAATCATTTGATTTCCATTCACAAGTTTATCTCTCGGCGTATATTATAATTATTATATTCCTCTCGAGACGCGGCGTAACGAGTCGATATTATAATGTATTATACCGGACAAAGAATATTATAATATTATAGCATACGAGTTGTCCAATTCAGAAATGGGGATTATATGGTTTGAGTATAATCGCGTATCGATGGCACTGTAAAGGCGAAACGCCTATAGACATTTACATGTAGGTATCACACCTATATGATAATGATATGTTTTGCAGATTTTCAAACGTCTATTATTATAGCCTAACCGGATCGTCGTTCCAGAACCGTCAATCTGAAAAAAAAAAAAAAAAAGGTCGTCGGCAATTACCTCGTTGGACTTCCACGTTGGGCGGCACCGCGTTCTTCTCGTTGCACGTCCCGTTGGCCTTTGTCGGGGTGGACGTCACCGGTTGTTGCTGGTCGTGTAGTTTATTGACTTCCGGTCCGCTGTGGTCGGCGGGCAACAGCGGCGACGTAGCGCTCGTGGGCGTCGGCGTGATCGGTTTGCCTTCTTTAATCAGTTCGACTATCTGGTCGGCTTCCTTGGACAGGTCGCCGTCGGGTCTGAAAGGATTATCCCAGCCGTCCGAACTGAAACACGAGAGTAAAAAATGCGATTCAATTAATACACAGTATTATGGGTGCGTGTCGAGAGACGGTTATGCACAGATCGGAATTATAATATATAATTGGTAACAAAGATGGAAACGGTGAGAATATTTATTTTTTACAGCGGCACGGATAATAATAATAATATATAAGAACGGCCGGTTCAGATCGCAGGCTGCAGCAGGAATTCCATCAGCGATGACACTATGCCAGCCGGTGCATTATACGTATAAAGAGGTGCACGACAGGAAGCAGAGGGAACCCGTGCACCAGGTTCACGGACCATTGCCGGCTCACCGAACCGTGATCATGGTTGTCCATGAAAAATCTCACACACGATGGCTGACAATGATGATCATCATCGACACTATATATAATAATATACGATATGCGGCCCGGTTTGGAATAATTAGGTAGACACTATCAAAACATTCGATTCGAAAATGCAATTTACCATTGTACAAACGACGAGCGGATTGGGTATTGTTGTTGGACAAATAACACGATCCGTGGAGCAATATGCAATGTTATTATGCATTAATGCATTACAATGATTTATAGGTGTACGAGAGGATATTAAATTGCAGATATTGTAATACGATATCGTCGCCATCTCAATCATAAGGACCGTCAGATCGTATTTTTGAAAGTAAAATAACATTTCCGCGCTGAACAACGCGAAAACGACAAAATAGAAACATATAATACAATATATATATATAATTATTTCATAGAATCAAAATTATTAAATTATTATCTTATCTCAATTTACTCTATTTGTTAGTACTTCGCTGGTATGCATAATTTCAACAAGAGCACTTAAACGTTTTAAACACATGTTCACATAAAAATACTTTACCATAACAGAATAAACGTAGTAAATTACATTGTTATTAGCCTTTTAATTTAATCTAGCACATGAATATTTGGATGACATACGTTTTTAATAATCAGTTAGAGCCAGCAAGGTTTGCAATATTTTAGAATTCGTGACATTTGTGTTTCATTAATAATAATAATGATAATAATAATATAGATATTAAATTTATGTTTGAAATTAAAAATAAAACTAATGAAAACGGTAGAAATAAAACAGTATAATATAATTTAATCACGAAACAAAATTTTACATAAATTAAATTAGCTGTTATGAAATTTTCTCAGTGATTTGGAACGCAACAAAATGTCATGCTATTGTTAAGTCACAAAATATTAGTACGAGCTGCAAAGTCTGCCAGCCGTAATTCATCCATCAGCCTATACTCGTAAAACTTTGGGATAATTTCGTCGGCTTGAAGGCTGACCTTTAAAAAGGTGTGGTCGTTGTTTGGCATTCAAAATAATGTACAGCGATTTCGGACAGCAAAAGGTCTCGCCCACGTCTAATTGTCATCAATCATCATGTAAAACACTCGAAATAAGAAAAAAAATCTGTCAGTCTTAAACTGACACGGATATTATAATGGATGCACGGAGTGATATCGCATATTATAGCAGTTATATTGGACGACAATATATTGATTTCAAAAAATCGGCCATATGAAAACGGCCATAGCCACAGGCTAACAGAGTTTTCAAAACATAAGCTCAAACGAACACATAAGATTGGACGTTTTCCAAAACCTCAAATAATTCGATTTACAAAAGAATTCATGAACAATTTAAAGACTGATTTGTTACCCATATTAGTCTTACTCAAGCGTATGGTCGTCAAATGTTGGTTTTATTTTGTTCGCACGATAACCCTGAATCTATATTTAATTCACCTAGACACCCCAAGTATCGAGCACGATAACACACGAGTAGCAGCATATTATAATATATTATAATAGTAGTAAAATAGTATATATTACACTACATATTATAGATATAGTCACACACAAACGAACGTCACATTCGTAAATAATAACACATCGTAATAATATATACGATAGATAGGTAGGTAGGTAACAATAATTATAATAATAATAAGACATTCTAGTTTGTGAGAAAAAAAGTAATTGCAGTTGTCTCTGCTTCGAACGTTTTGACAGTCATTGTCGGTTACACTCTGTATAATATCGCGGTATAGTGGTTAGTCGGTTTAATTTAACGTGGCTTTGGGGGAGGGGAGGGGGGGTGTACACCGAAATCAGAGCTAGTGTCTAGTGAAACGCCGGTGGTATAAGTGAAAACAAAAACTGTGGCTAGGTATTCAAATTAGGTATTTGTATTTTTATCGACATCAGCGCGAGTGTCAGAGATCGTGAAACCGTACAATGACAACATAATATATTATAATATTGTTGTTATACTATTTGTCGTGACTTTGCAGCCTCAGAGTTGTGGATCGTTTAAATCTCGCGGCGTTCTCCGAATCTTTGTTCTTATCGCAAAAACGAATTTACCCCGTGGATATCGCGACACCGCCGCGTTTCGTTGCCGAAATCGTGAATTATTTAAGACGAATTCTCACTCCAAGTTCAACGGCGACAGCGTGCGCTTCTCCTCCAGGTACTTGTGCGAAGCGGTGGCCGACACGTAGTCCAACGTCGGGTCGTCCTTGGGCACCTTGACCACGTAGTACAGCACGCCGCCATGGGAAGCGGTCATACTTGTTGGCATGCCGTGGGTGAAGTTATCGTGTCCGTATTTTATCTGTCGTTGGTCGGCGAGGACAGAACGGTGGCGCGAAAACGGCAAACCGGCGTGCGTCACGGACACGGCTGGGGACACGGCCTGACGAGGACTGAGGAGAGCCTCGGTCGGCGGTCGGCGAGCGCGCTAGCGGTGGTCCCCTCCTCGCGATCGTCCGCGGCGTTGTTAGGATACCGAGTCGAGGCGGCCAACAATCGATAGTATCGTTGTTGCACCGACTTTCTCGCAACATCGATAACGAACGGTTCGTAGCCGACGACGGTGGCTCTATTTTACCACGCCGAACGAACGATGTGCGCATGATTGCACATTCGGCGGCTGCTGCTATTGCCGTGTTTGTCGCCGCCCCCGCTGCAACGGATATCGATTGTTGCGGTGTGCTTGTGCGGTGTGTGTGTGAGCGTTTGTTTTATGTACACAATAAACGAGCAGGTGACGTAAGCGCTGTGCTATGATGGCGTCTCGGTGTCGGTATCACATAGCACCTATACAGTTGTTGTAGCAGAGTGGAGTACGCCGAGGAGAGAGAGAGAGACAGACAACTGGCGAGGGGAGAGGACGTTTTTATAGTGTTGGGTAGTAAATATATTACAGGTGGGAAGTGTTATAACATTATGTTGTTTCCAGATTTTACGACGCGTATAATATTGCGGGTGGTAGGCCCAAAGGGTTGTGCGCGTTTTCAGATATGGTTTCGTAGACGAATAAGTTATATAGTAATAATATGAAGTCGGTCACGAGAAAAGTTTTCCATAAACAATACATTCCTGACAGATCGTCATTGACACGTTGTATGAATAACAATAACAGTATTAAGCGAGTTGTAGGTGTAGCTATACTACTACGTGATTGGAAGTTGGCGCGAGGACGGAACGACCGCGGACAGCCGTTTAATACCTTATCGATATCCAGGCCAATCCAATCCGGTGTCCAAAATAATTACAATACCAATAATTTTTTGCTAGCAGCACTGCTAAATTTTAAAATTCCACATGTCCTACTGACCTATACCGCATAGGCATACGGGTACATTAATGAAGTCTCACTTTAACCACGGTTGGTATATTATGTACATCGTCCATTAGACAAATTGCTATAATTGTTAATTATCCAAACTAGTTGTATCGCTGTTTCTACTACGGCTGTATCATGAGACTGTTATATCATTCAAATACAATAGGTACTCTTTCATTCATATTCGTATTCAATTCATACTAAATTAATAATACTAACATTTTTATACCCGCCATCATCAACAACTTTTTTTTTGCATATATTTGTCAATATATAGATAAATACTATATGATACAGATCGTGTACATAAAATTACTAAAATTAATGTGCTGCCTAAATAAAATACAAGTAATTTAAATTGAATAAATTTTTAGTGTAAAATATATTTGCACTTAAATTTGGAACCCTAAAATTGTTTTGGGGTTTTCGGCACTTCTTTCGTTATATATAAATATTTTTAAAGATTCTATTGCATTTGAAAGAGAACTTCTAAGTCAAAGTATAATTTGTTCACAAAATTGTAGAGCACTTTTAAAAGTTTGATTTCATTAAAGGCATGGTATATAGGTACCGCATATAATGCATATTATGTTTTATCACTTTTCTTTAAGCTTAGGTAGGTAATTTGAAAAATTAGTTCTCCTGAGTACCTACACACCGTCTCGGCCAATTATCATAATATATATATATATATATTATATATCGCAATAAAACAATGAAAAAAATTAATTATCGTGTTTTTAAAAAATATGCATAAATATCAATATTAAACTTAATTCTTTTCTCCTAAAAATAAAGCATCAATGCCGCTGTCGTCGAAATAATTTTTGCAGTCATAATATTTTGTTTTTTTCCGTCTAAATTATGATTAGCTGCAGATATTACTACACTGGACTTCTGGCTGCAAAACGAATCGTTGTTTGAGGTCGTAAAGAAATGTCCTCGACGGCAGACACTAAAAACGTATCAAAGCGTGTCTTTGCCGCGTCTAGGGCGTCGTGTGTCATTACTTTAGAGTATAATATCAAGCATCGAGTTTAAAAATGGTTTGGCGAACACTTCTCAGTTCTCACGTATGTTATAGGTATATAGTATTGGAGGCCCCTGGGAGGGTCGTTCAACCGTCTGGACAATGGTAGCTATTTTAAATTGGCCACGAATTCACTTGTTATATAAAAATAGTAATCGTTATAATAATAGATGATGGGATTTGCACGGGACTTCAAGACGTATTGTCTTGTGCCGAAATAATGGCAGCCACACAATGATGATGATGTAATACGCTCTTAGAACGTTCGAAACACTCGTGTAGTGGACCGGGCTGTAATGCGCTCGCTTAACATTAATCGTAACTTACCTAATCTGCGTTTGGACGTGGCCATTTGACCTTTGTAGTATAGGACTCGATGTGGTCATCGTGCTGTCGCCAAATATTTCCAACGATTTTGGCGGTGAAGGTAGCACGCACGGTTTCTCGGATTCGAAAAAGCTCACCCGGACCTTAGTGGACGCAACAGTACTGAAAACATACAGAAAAACAATTGTACTCGTGGCTCGACGGGCATAATATAATATTATGATGTTTGACCTATTTGCGTCTCTAATTATAACTCCAGGCGTGCGCGCTTCTCTCCAGATGACGTCCGGAGGAAACGCGAAAATAAACATGATTTAAAAAAAATTCAAATGGACGGTCTCCAAATTGGACGTCGTCCAAAAAAACCCCACGAACGTGCCTCCAAGGTCTCCAGAGCAGAACGAAGCGGCGAATCGCTACCACATGGCCGTCATGGCGATCGCATCACATTTTATCGGATAACTCGACTACAACCCGCGTCCCGATATTCACACGAAAAATGTGATCCCAAACCTGTGGCGGACAATGCGATTGTCGACATATTTTTATGTTCACCTTTTGTTTAACGAGCGCCGAGCTCATTGTACGGTATAGCTGTTAAGCCATACGGCGGCGGCGGCGGCGTGGGCTGATCATAACTATTAATTGCGTATTTGTGTCGAGCGGACGGTTTAGGCGGTATAATCGTCGCTGGTAGAGGTTAATTAACATACAGACAGAATAGAACAACGCGGGTCATATAAATATTGTACGGTAATAATAAACGCGAGGCTGGCTGTAGAGCACTAGGAATTTGACCTTGTCGACTGTTACGCGCGCGGTACGTGCCTCACGGCGGCGGCGAACACACACACAACGTGAAAAGTTGTAAAAACCATTCGATCACCTATATTATCCCCATACGAAAACACGGCGGCCGTGTACGCGGCCGTGCTAGGTTTGCGCGCCAAAACCCGACCCAATTAATAAAAAAAATAATTCCCGTTTGGCGAGTTATCGGCGGAGTCGGACCTTTTTATTCGATCGGTATCGTCGGTATAGGCAATTTAGGTAGATAATATGGTACGAGGTGAAAGTATGTTTCCATTTACGGGACGACTTTTGCTTTTCGCATATTATTGCTGCTGCTGCTGATAATAATAATATGTGGGTAGGTGGGTTAGCTCGGCGAAGGCTGTTAAATAACGGTCACTATATTATTATTATTGTAGCTTGCGCGCAAACCGGTCGGACCAGCTTCCTAATGACATCATCGCCGTCATGGCGTCATCGTCACTTTCGTAACCCCCCACACCAAAATGTCGTACACACTGCAGCAGTGGGGGTGTGGTGGTGGTGTTCAAAACCCTCTCAAGACTTATTTGTTCGCAATAATATAGAAATACGTATGAATAACGTATAAATCAAACATAATACGTTAAGGTTTTTTTTTCCAATACAACTCCCCCCCTCCATTTCTCGTGATTCCGTTGTGTAACGGTCGCGCGCCACGGGAGTTCGGCGGCGGCGGCTCAAAGGGATCTTCCTCGCGCGGCGGAAACGTAAACAAACCGATACAAAACACAAACAATAACACACTCACCTATACGGTAGTCACGGGATTTCTCGGTGGCGCTATCCCGCGGTCGTCGTATCGATTCGCGCGGATCGTGGGCGTGACCGGACGAAAGCGCACACGAATAAAGACGCGCGCGATCTCAAATAATACAGTTAACAACAACAATAATATGAAATATATAAAAAAAAAAAAGAGCAACAGCGATCGGAGGTTCCTCGGAGCGAGTGGAAAATAAAAAAACGATTTTTCAAAAAAAAGAAACGATCGCAGAGCGGAGACTATCCGGAGGAGACGACGACAATAGCCGAGTGCATCTGACGTACTATTGTTGTGGCCGTCGTCGCCGTCGGCTGTCGGCACGACTGCTGCACGGGAGTCGGTTATGAATGACGTACGCGCACCACGAAAAACGGATCGGCGTCACTGGAGCGAGTGTCGTGAGGGACGGGACCGGGTAGAGAACCGGAGGATTCGGCGGCAGCCACCGGCGCGCAGTGTTGCCACACCGGCAGGCGCCGCACTATTCGACGGTGTCGGCCAATATTTGACTTTCCTTGTGTAATAATAGGTACACACATTATTATTATTATTATTCATAATAATGTTAAATTCTCGCACGAGCGAAAACTCTTTTAAATTCTTTTGAAGTGCACCAAACAGCTCATACCCAGTGTGCTTCGCACTGCTACCCTGTTGCACTTTTCGCAGAGTGATGTACTGATGTGCAACGGACGACGATTCCGATCGAACGAAACTTATTGTTGTTACTACTGTTGTTTCTCCGTAACACTAAATCCCCCTTACATACCGCTTTAAAGTTTTAACTTTTTGGTATAACATCCTTCAAGTTTTTCTATTATTAATATTTAATAGCATAAAAGGACATTTTTAGTATAGTAAATGTTTGCCATTGCTTTTTTTTCCTAAATTAAAACACATCCGCTCACTAAGTGGGTGGTCCTCCCTAAATGGTACTAAATATAATATGGTAATGCACGAAGTTTTTCATGAAATATAAACGGATTTTATACTTTTATTAGCTCAAATCCAAACATAATATAAACATTGGTACACTGATTATTATAGTATAAAATTTAAATTTAAAAAAAAATTAACGATTTAAAAATGTTATGTAATATAATATCGTACCTAAATATGAAGGATTCTAAATCAAACACTTAATCAAAATATTTAAGTTTTATAAATATATTTTTTTTATATAGTAAGTACACAATTATACATAATATAAAAACAACATTTTCACCATAATGTTTGAAAACTGGTAAATCAACTAAATTTATAAGAATGTTTAAATTATATTGTCAATAATATTATTAAAATGTATAATTCACTAATTTATTATATTAACAAGAAAATATAGAGAATAGTAGAAGAGGATAATAATATTATGTTGTATGGCAAGATGGTCTAACAGCCTCATAATAATAATGGATAATACCTAATAAAAAATTATATTAACATGAGTTATAAAAAAAGTAATTATTTGGGTTATTATGCGTAGAATAATAATTTGTACTCAAGTCTCAAACGTTTTAATAGCAGATTGCAAGTAGATGAAAGTATGGTAATGGGGTTTTTAATATTTAGTAAGTGGATGGTCAGTTGCACGTTATATTATTTATGTCTATATACTCAACGCATGCACAAAACCAGCTCGATAAACAATTTGTTTTTTTAATTCACATCATTATATTGCGCCATCGATAAAATAACTTTGAATATTATATAGATAAATATGTAATTATTTATCACTATATATATACCTACATGTTTAGCTTTGCAGATCATTTCAAAACGTGCATTATAGTGAACCAAATGTATAAAAAATTAAAACATTATTTTTATAAATAATATTTTAATGAGCAATAAGGTTGTGCATTTGTAATCATAATATTAATACATTTATTCAAGAGATAATTAGCCTTCACAATTTATCAAATCAATACATTACGTATATAATTGATATATTAATATAATTATCTTACCAACATTAATTTAAACGCGAATTAGTATTGCAGTAATTACAGTATATTAATCATATTAGTATAGAATTTTATTAAGTTTAATTGTTAGCGTGTTAAGTGTAATTGAATGAAAAGCACGACAAAAAATAATTAAAATAAATTGAATATCATTAAATAATTGAAATTGTATTAACTAATGAAGGTTAACTAATGAAGGAGAGTTTAAATGTTTAATACATATTAAAGTAATAAAATATATATTTTACTTTAGTACTTTACTCTTTTACAAGTTAAAACACAAGCTGTTAAATTATTTATTATGTCTCACAAAACATTAAATGAATGTATGAAATACGCAAAGTTTCCAACAATAAGTCAATAAGAACTAACTAAACAATTTTAAGTAAAATAAATTTCGTGTTTTTGTTTAGATTTCCTCGGTTCCCGTTAAGTAAATGTACGTAAGTATTTAACGTAGTAATTATTATGACATTTGAACCATATATATTCACTACATTGTTTACGAATGATATTGATAAATGATAAATATTTGTTTCGCTGATTACCGTTGCCAAAATATTTTGATTGCCGTTTACGATTGAATTAAGTCATTAATACAACTTTTCCGACTGCAGATATATTTCTGAGAATAAGAGGTTTTTTTATAGACATGTTAAACATTAAAATTCTTTTCAGAGGGGAATAAAGCGATTATTGTTAAAATGTCCCTGGAGACGCTAAATATTATGTTCTAAGTATTTCCCCTAATTTTACAGTTTTTATACGCATGAACAAGAAACGTCCTTATAAACATTTTTCACATTAGTCTATACGATTTTCACCAAATATTATGTCTTTATATATTTAGATCCTTTTCAAAAGCTACTCCCATTTTATTTTATTAAAATAATTGCGATACAGTAGAATACTGAGCTGTCGTTTTTACCTAGGATTGCGTGATACACGATGATTAACGATGATTCCCGAATAATAAAATAATTTCGCAATATTTATGACATTTATGTAGAACAGATTTTAAGTAATAACCGAATAATGATTAAACTTACCCGTCACAGTCGTCAATATCACTTATATCCAATGTCTCTTCTTGAACAGGAGGGCTATCGTATATCAATGTTTCAACCATAGATCCTTTTGAACTGCCAAACGAAACTCTGAAAACCAAACGTAATAATAATATGTAGTCAAGACTCTTTAATGAAAACAATAGGTATAGATAACTGATCTCCGATTGTACAGTCTCGTCTGTTTTTGTTTACGTCATTCATTGTAGGCACGTAAACAAGACGTACTTGTAACAATATTAATTTCTATAGAGTAAACCGACGTCGGTGGAAAAATATTTATATAAATAAATAGCAACAATAATAATAATAAAAAAAAATAATAATAATAATAACATTAACCGGAGTACCCGGGCGTGGTTGTTGTGACCGAATTTTCTTATCTGACCGGGTCACGGCGTGTTTCGTGATCAATAGTAATAATAATTATAATGTACACGCAAAGGATGGCATAGGTACTCGACGACGAGCAGTTCGTCTTCCCAACAAATAGTGTTGTCTGTGTTGTCAGCTGGCCGTTATGGTTTCCGTGTTTCTTTCCCCACGTTTTCTTCTCGTTCTTTTTAGATTTACCAACAAAAGAAATTATTATACAATCTGCACTACCACTACGCTATAATATATAATATGGCGCTGTGCGATAAATACGCGTCAACGACATTAAAACGTATCTCTATATAACACCACAATGCACACGAATGAAAGAGAATGGTCTCACTCCGTGCGTGTTTAGAACTCGACTCGTAAATAAATTAATGATATATTCTCACGATCGTGTCTTACGAGTTTGTTAAAAACTGTCAATTGGAACATCGCGACGACATGTACAACTCCGCGTGTACCTATACACACGAGCGTGACGGGATTATAATATTATTCTTAATATTATTTTTTTCGATCGGCTTAGCGGTGGATAATATAATATCGTATTATTACAAATAACGCGTGTACCTATAGGCATATACAAATATTGTAAGAAAAAAGAAAATCCAAGACGTCCATAATACTTATAATATTATTATTAAATGGAATCGATACTGTATAATACATTATAATATAGTACGCCGTATCCGCCCCCGATGGTCTAAGAACTCCTCGAGGCTATGGTAATACTATCGGAGCTTAAATTTCAACTTTTTTTTTAATACGCATCAAAAATTATATTATAATATATCCTTGTATGCATATAGGTACCATTCGTATTAGGTATACGTTGCCGTTGCTCAATAGTCAATAGATTAGTAACATTAACATAAGGAGAGTGGGATGCGTCAAGCAAACAATTTATGTTATTCAAATATATACATATACCATACTCAATATACTATTTATGATATATTTATTTATATTAAGATCGACAATCGACTCTTTAAATAATAATATTCATGATTTTATTATTGTCACCATTATAACTGATAAGTGTTATTGCGCTAAGTCGTGGGCAGAATAATACATACATCAATTACTATTGCACTGTTATTTTCTTCAACACGATGCCCAACCTTCGGAGGTTTTTTTAAAAATCTTTATTGGTGTCGCACGCTAATTGATGATTTTTCAAATACTAAACACGTTGTTTTCTTAATAAATCACAGAATAATCGAAATCATTGAAATCCATCAAACCAAACATTAACGTTTTAGTGAAATTGTGTAATTAGAGTTATATAATATATATAGTGTCATTATGTTTGGTATGATTGACATTTCGTGAATAGTCATCAAGGCATATTTTACGAATTTTTAAACATTTTAATTTTTACTTGTATTTAGACACTTGGGTAGCAAAATAAATTACAAGCTTCAGTCACGTAGACATTTTCTGAAATCATCTTTGCAATTAAATAGTGCATCTTTTGATTTTACTTCAACATTGTTTAGATATAGTCATTCTTCATATTTATATTTAATCTTAAAATAATCTTCCGTCAGAAATTTAAATCTAATTTTTACATTTGAATCTTAATTCATATAGGTACGTAGGAATTATCATCAAAAATGTAAAATTGTTTAAATAATTTTTTTTAATTCATTGATATTTAATTGCTGCTGTCTATCAACGACTATAATATACCGAAGAGATATAAATAAAGATATAATATAATTCGAGAAATGTATATGCATATTATTAACTACGTTCATCAAATTTTGAATTAAAATTGTACCAATGTAATGAAATCTAAAAACCTTTATATGAGAAAGTTGAAATTATCAGTTCTTAAAAATAAAATTATTTATCGTGGTAAAATTAAATTTTATGCAATGAATATATGTTAAACCATTTAATAACGCCAAAATGTCGTATGTGGAATAACGTGGGTTTAGTAATATTGATTAAATCATATATTTTCTTATGATATCCTCCTCGGACACCCACATATTTTGAAATGTTTATAGTATTAATGATTTATGTTGATTGGGTTTAAAACTTATTAAATCTATTCTGTGCTTAAAACCTGTTGTAGATATTTTAAAAATGTAGGTACCTACCACAATTTATTATAGTATAATATTACTATTCCAACACAAGTATGAAGTAACATTTTAATATCAATATCGTATACATAGGTAGGTACCATTACTATAATAATCATGTGTTATAGGTTAACTAGGTATCATCATTTTTTTTAAATCAATTACTAAATATTTCTACTTGGTATAAATGAACAGTAAGGAAAAAATAAACATGAAATTCCAAAATTGTATTTACTTAATTATATATTATATAGCAATACAATTTAGTAGAGTAGTTACCTAAATACTTAATCTTGTATATTTATTTTTATGTAACAATAAGTTGATTTTGTGCGCCTACATTAGTATAAGGTAGGCGTATCTAAGTATTTCATTATAACATTTTTTAAAACCTTGTTGTAAAAACTATAGTATAAAATCCGGGCTAAAATATTAAATATATATTTATTGGCTAATATGTTTTATTTGGACCAACGTGTTTGAGTAAAAAGTAAAAACTTTAATTTTATAAAATTAAAGACCACAACACATATAAAAATAAATTAAATGCAAATCCTGTAACCACACGAATAAGTTCATATTATATTCTATGCAGCTGTTCTATGGCAATAATTACCCATACAATACAAGTCTAATTAACCACAACAATAATTATGATATACTCTTTTGCACTCAATTGGGTTTGTTGTGCAGTTTTTAGCGTTCCTTAGCAACAACAGTAAATTTTAATGCACTTTTCAGTTCATTTTTGACGTAGTTTATATCGTTTTTTGTTCATATTCATTCGTGTCGAAAATTGACGCTGTGTAACCCACTTCCTTACTAATGCTACAAAATTCAACCTTAATGTGTCGCATAATATATATTATAATATTATGTTTATTAAATTGCAGTTCTTGACTATTGATTTATTACTAATCTAGCAGCGAGAAACCTTACTGTCTTCAACGTTCGCCCAATATCACGTGTTTTACCCTAACATTTAACTTACATCCTGTTTTAAATTAGTTATACCGTTCGTACTTCGTATGGTTAACGGATGCGTACTTATATATATATATATATACTTCATATAATAAATTATATGGTACCTATCGTATGGGTCAAACTGCCTTATTATCCTTTTCTCCAAAAAAATATTCCCAGTATTTATTTTTCTATTTGTTTAGTATACCCACAATTATCTTAAAGAGCATGTGAGAAATACGAAACCACATGATATATAAATATTATATAGGTATGTACTAACTATCATTTCGAATCTATGCGATTGCCGATCAACCATTTTCTACTGCAGTAGGTATATCACGATTTCGGTACCTATACTTGTACTTGATTTATAGGTATAAACATTGCACTCGTATACTTTCACGTAGAACATTTACTCCAATAAAACAATACATTTTTTGTCGGTTTCATCGATTCGCTATCGGAATATTATCGTCTTACATTTACAATTGAATAAATTAAATAAATTATTATTATTATTTTGAACTGGGATTAGGCATTATAGCTATTAAATTTCAATAAACCCAACATCACCAACTCAATAATAATATGATAATAACCGACAGCATTCATCTCTCACGATAATTATATAATATCCAATACGCTCTATTTTTCACCTACAACCGGAGATTAAAAAACTTATTCGGGACGCGTAATATACATATTTTATGACGTTGAACGTTTCGTGCGCTTGCACGATTGTACCTATTTTGTGCACCTATAACGTTATATATTCAATAGAGTTGGTACTCGTAATTTGATAAAAATGTAATCTAACGTTTCGGTGATCAGATTCGGTCTCGTAAATTGGCCGTTTGCAGTTTCCAGGTCCCTTCCGGATAGGGCGATGGGTCGAAAATAAAACTGACACGCTCGTGCACGATGACGTAATTACCACTGGGCGGACAGCCGCGTGGGAAGAGACATGCTTAAAAAACCGCGACAAAATAATATTGTTGTGCAACCCGATTCGAAGTTCATCTAAATGTACTTACGCGTAATATAAAATCGTCGTATGGCTACAACGACGAAGGATGAACTAAGACGTGTATTAATATACATAATAATATTGTGTCGAGAGAAAAATTAGCCTTTGTATAATGACCGCGGGCTGATGTCAAAGAAAATAATATAACGTCAACAGTTCTGCTGTACAAATGACATAAAACTTTGAGCTTGAATAACTATTATTAAGTTGTAAAAATAAACAAAAGTTATTTATAAAATCTAGTTAAATTTGCTATTAAAACATATTTTTTATACATCCGGTCGTTATATGTATACGGACTATGTGCGTAAATAAAATTTAACGGGTTATAATATTAAAACAATACCTACCTACGATTCCATTTGAATTTATAGCCCGATAGGATAACCATAGCTCATATAATGACGAATACGCAGATGAAACACTGTCATTGGTATTATTTCTAATAATATTATAAATAATATTGAAGTTGAACTAAGTGACGTTTAAATTGTGTATAGATATATTTTTAAATACTTATAACACAAGTAAGTTTTTACTTCTTAGGAACAACTTTTTGCAATTTTAATTTTATAAGTTATAAATATATATTAATAATAAATTACTTATTAGAATTATTA